ACCAATGCATTTTAGACATCAATACCAGAGACAGACCATGTTTGTCTATAAGCTTGTCACATTTATACAGAAACATTAGGAAAAAAATCACTTCACTTAAAGAATGAACTTCATTGAACTACAAAGGCTTCACTTGTATTGCCTCACAGACCCTAAACAGCGACTGCAAGGCAATAGCTAAGATTGAACAGATCAAAGCAAGAGCACATCAACTTCTCCAGACATTTTTAAAAGAAGTTTGGTTATTTAAGTTCCATGAAAACAACGCTGTTTCAAAAATGCTATGTGCTTACAAGGTCATTGGAGGATGCTACATTTTCATCACCTGCCACTTTATGGTATTGTGTTGTAAATCTTTGAACAGTTGTGATAAGGCCAGGATTAAAGCATACCAGTTAAGGCTAGCTGCTTCATAATGCAGTTGCTGCTGCTTCTGTTAGATTCCCTAAACAGAAACTACCGTATTTTTCAGAATATAAGACGCACCTTAGTTTTTGGGGAGGAAAATAAAAAAATTGATTAGTAGGTGGATCGGCCTCCCAGAAACCCCCAATCAGCTGTTCCCAGAGGTGAATTTTAGCAACAGGTCCCTTGGCTGTGAGCTCTCTGCTTTGCTTTTTTTTATTTATTTATTTATTTATTTATTTGCTTTTTTTCCTGCCTCTGAAAGAGAGCTTCAGAAAAAAAGCCTCTGAAGCTCTGTTTGCGGGCTTCTTTTCTGAAGCTTCGTTTCTGATGCTTTTTTTGGCCTCTGAAACCTCCGTTTGAGAAACTGGGCGGGGCTACATTTGGAGTATAAGAGGCACCCAGATTTTCACCCTCTTTTTGGGGGGGAAAAGGTGCATCTTATACTCCGAAAAATACGGTAATATACTCTTTCATTGAATTGAACTTTCATCTTTTGTCAAGGCCTACACACCTACGGTTAGAAACTGAGAAAACTATGCCCCTAGAACAGGCAAACAATTAGCCCTGTAATGCAGAATATTTTGAGTGGGATTTCCCAAGTGTGAAATTGACACCCAAGTTTAGTATAACTTAATGTTATTAAGTATTGCTTACTGGTAATATATCCTACTGATACACATTTAACTCATTCAGCAGAAGAGGTCTTATAGGCCATGATGGATTTCTTTGCATAATAGCAGGATGAATTCTGAAAGGAAGGACTTTTCATACAGAAATAATATGTTCAGCTTGTGAAATAACAATTTGAGAGGGGTAGACAAAAGAAGTAAACAGAAGACATTTACCTGCATCTTGGCATTAGGCAACAGATCTTGCTGAGAAAACAGCCGTTACAACTTGCTGTGCTCACCCAGCATGTATATACTCCCTAGCAAAAATTTAGAAAAAGCAAATTTTCACGATCATACTGCCCAAGGGGCATAGCAAACAAGGAACAACAATGTATATTTATACAACATCTATGGGACCTGCTTCATGGCTATCTAATTTTTATTTCATTTTCTTACAGTTCAGTAAAACCAAACTCAGGTTTGTTATTTTCCAAAGCAAGCAGTGTTCTGGAGATCTATATGCAAGTTAGGCAAATTGCTGAGCAATTTTACCCTTCAGGAAGATGCTCAGAATAGCTGAGGGGTCATGTTGAAAGTGCAAGATTTAATTTGAAAAGGAACTCCAAAATTTGTAGGTTTCATAGAAACGGTTAACTGTCTGTCAGAGTGTGTGTTCTCTTTTTTCCCCCTATTAGAAAGGCCGAGACCTGACATCTGTTCAGTTTTACATACATTTGATACCTTGTGCAAATTAAAATGAAACTGACCACAAAAGCAACTGATATTTTGGCCTTGAATTGACAGATGATCTACAAACATCTTCCCTCTCTTTCCCCTTTTAGACAACCAGTTTCACTCAGACCAGGAGCATGAATATGTAGTTTACTTACATGGGTATTTAGTGTGTGGTCAGAAAAATCCAGGTGGCAGTGACAACAGGGTGATTGAAGTTCCACCTGTTTTTGTGTGTTTTTTCATTGGGAGACTCCCACAGTGGAACATAAGATAGGCAACTATATACAGGTAGTCCTCAATGTATGACCACAATTGAGCCCAAAATTTATGCTGCTAAGTGAGACATTTGTTAAGTGAGCTTGCCCCATTTTACAACTTTTCTTGCCACATTTGTTAAGTGAATCACTGCAGTTAAATTAGTAACAGGTTTATTAAGTGAATCTGGCTTCCCCATTGACATTCCTCATCAGAAGGTCTCAAAAGGTGATCACATGCACCCCCAGGACACTCTAACCGTCATAAATGTGAGTCAGTTATCAAGCATCCGAATGTAAATCATGTGACCATGGGGATGCTGCAACAGTCATAAGAATGAAAAATGGTCATACGTCACTTCTTTCAGTGCGGTTGTAAGTTCAAATGGTCACTAAGTGAACTTGTAAGTCGAGGACTATCTGTAAATGTTAAATAAATGTGCGTCATCGTCATCATCATCCTGACATACAGGATCACTGCCAGTTTGGCATTTAATGCACTTATTTATTGCCAGATTGCGATGGGGGTGGGGAAGTTAAATTGGAGTTTTAAAACCGGGCTTTTTAGTGTTGTACACTGCCCAGAGTCACTGTGAGATGGGTGGCTATATAAATTTGTTTAATAAATAAATAAGTACACTTTGTGGCAGAGTGGGGACATAATAAAACCATTTTCTGTCAGCTGAACAGAAAGAAAGCCACGTTTGTCAAATGTCATCAAGAAGAAACCCTGGCCAGGAGAAAAGCAGCCCTGTCAATGCTAGTTTGTGGTGGGCGAACAGTGCAAGTTGTGCTATGAAGCCTGCCTGGCCCCTGAATATTTGCTAAGCTAACAGAGACAGTTGTTCTGCCAGCATCTCCCTGCCAGAAAAATGAGGCCAGGTGAGACCCTTATCTCAAGAAGCCCCCTCACATTCGGGCAGGGCTAAGATAGGGGAAAGGGATTGTCAACTTCAGCCATCCCTCTTGGTTGACTGACTGCTTCACCAGAGGAAGCTAACCCAAGGAGGGGTAAGTCTCATTTGGGAGAAAGAGTGAAGTTTAACATCCTGGGCAGTGGTGAAATCCAATTTTTTTTACTACCGGTTCTGTGGGTGTGGCTTGGTATGCATGGTGTGGCTTGGTGGGCGTGGCAGGGGAAGGATACTGCAAAATCTCCATACCCACCCCACTCCAGGGGAAGGATACTGCAAAATCCCCATTCCCTCCCCACTCTGTGGCCAGCCAGAGATGGTATTTGCCGGTTCTCCAAACTACTCAAAATTTCCGCTACTGGTTCTCCAAACTGCTCAAAATTTCCACTACCGATTCTCCAGAACCTGTCAGAACTTGCCGGATTTCACTCCTGATCCTGGGGACCCTAAGGTTGCTATTACCGCTTTAGCAAAGGCATTAAAAAGCTGCCTGGGTTCACTGAGGCAGCCCCGGGCCTGTCTGAGTCATGAAGCCTTTTCTAGGGCAACCATTCCAGTGAATCCTGCCAAGCACTTTCACTCTGAGGCAGGAAGACTTGATTTCTCCCTTCAGGAAGGTAGACAAGCTGGGTTGGGGTTTGTTTTGTTCTGTTGTTTTTTGTTTTGCTCCTGATTTTGGAAAATGAGAATGCGTATCTTTAAAGGAAACCCAGATTTCAGCAACTAGGTAACAATTCAGGAGCTCATCCTTTCCATTAAAATATGAGATTAGGCAAAGAGAGGAATTGGATTTGACCTTGGTCATATCCAAAAGACTGAGGAGGGGAGGATGCAGTCTCAATTTTGTTTGATCCCCCCCACTACAATTTTTCCCTCCTTTCACTACTTATTCAGTACAAAGCCAGCTGGGTGACCTTGGTCCAGTTCCTCTCTCTCTCAACCCTAGGAAGTAGGCAAGGACAAACCACTTTTGAAAAACCTTGCCAAGAAAACAGCTAGGAGTCAAAAATTGTCTCTATGGCAAAAAAGAGAGAGATGACTTTATAAAGTGGTATGCAGTTACCATTATATTGAGGTAGATTAAAAGTGGCCTACAGTATCAATTTCTCATCAACTTGAACCCCAATGAAATCCTAGTTTTATTCTTGCAGGTAGGGTATGCACCCAAATTCATTCTCTAGGACAAAACCCTGCCTGTAGGTTTTTGTCATTTTAAAAACATTAGGCTAGCCTATATTTTTGCATTGATATTTTTTTATTCTGTATCAGAAAACAAAAAAATGTAATGGTGTAGACAAAGGGGGTTTCCAACAATTAAGGCCCATCTCTGCTGCAAGTCATGAATATAGTAATTGGAGCTGAAACAAGTTCCAAATAAAATGTTAAGTATCCCCATGCAACATCAATGGCAGCAAAGATAGGGCAAACTCTGGTTTTTCCATCCACTTCTGGTGATGAAGTTCAGAAGGTATTTTGAAAGATATAAAAAATGGGTCAGCTGGAAAACGTGGGAAAGTAAGTATTGTTTTGCTACCAGACATCCCACCCCCCTAAATATGTGTTGCTCCCCTCCTCCCATTGTTGCATTTGTGCAGATCATCTCAGGGCCCTGTTTACAAATCTGCAATTCATATAACACATGAATTATTACCAGCAATAACTCATTCTGTCTTTATTTCTCAGAAACTCCTTAATAATTCCTAGAAGCACTTTCTAGAATCTCTCTTGTTTGCTTCATTTAATATAGCTGGTGCTTTTAATGTCATCCCTCCTCTTGAAGCAATATTGAGGCCCTGGCAATAAGCTTAGAGGACCTCATGCAGGAATCTGTTTGAAATAAGAGACATTCTTTCTCTTTGTACATGCAGTATTTGCGTAAGGGCATAGTTTTTAAAAGGATCCATATGATAAAAAAGGGAGTGAAGCATGAATTTTGATATCAAAAATGGGTTTCTTGCATTCATAATTGTAGCAATGTGAAGATATCTAACATCTACATAAGAACTGAATTATTACTGGAAGTAATCAATGGCAGATTTTCTATCTAGTCAACGAAGAACTGAAATATCAAGAGACACTTTATAAGCTATTGGGTATAGCTTTATTTATATATTTTCTGTATAACAAATTTAGAACTTTGTAATCCTGCTTCTTTTCTTCCAGAGCACTAGCACAGCAATAAATAGGATAATCCCAATGATAGGTAATACCACCAAAAGCACCAGAGTCAGGTCTTCACTGGAGTTCACATCTGTGGATAAGAGAAAACAGTTTGTAACTCACCTATTGTCATCTCACAAAGCAGTTGTCACTTGGCCAAGCTATTGAAAAACATTTTTCTTGCTGTATAATGATTATTCTGTAGGGGCCACAGAAATAGCACTGAATAAAATATAATAATGTCCACATTTCTTATGAAAGCTTCCTTACTTAATCTTTACGTAACATATTCTATTATAGAATATACAGTGGCTTGAGATCCAAATTATTAGCAAATTCTATCAGCATTACCCCAGCTTGGGGTAAAAAGAATGAGGGGGAAGAGGAAGTTTACAGCTTGGATTTTTCTGTAATAATAATGCAACAGCTTCAGGACTGTCAGTACATTCTGGAATATTAAAGGCAGTAATTGTCAGCTGGTGCCTATTTACCAATCCACTTATAAATATTCCTATTTAAATGACTATGCATATCAAGCATTCACTTTATACAGGAATGTAGTAATCCGAGATTGGTGTTTTAAGGAAAATATGAAGTATGTTAAATATATTATTTTAATTCCTGGCTCTTTATTATTGTAATTACTTACCATTCTTCCACTTGACTTGTTTCTCATGAATACTTTCTTGAAAAATTACAGCTCCATAAGTGCTTACTAAATCCAAGGATTCTGTCTCATTCTCCTCCTTCAAAAACCGACGGCCTCCTAAAACACAGGACAAGATCTCCAATAAGATACATAGAAATGATAAATTCCCAGCAGATTGCAATTTAATTACTAAAGGGGAAAGTTCTAAAAAAATAATAATAGGGGATTGGTGAAAGAAAAGTTCAAAAGACCACTCTCTCAGCTCAATTCACCTCACAGAGTTATGAGGAAAATAAGAGGAGGAATGGGCATTAGATATGTTTGCTGCCTTGAGTTATTAATAAAAAAACAATAAAGGTAGGATGAAAATATTTTTTAATTATTTACATAATCACTTAAACATATACAAATATTTTTTTAAAAAAGAATCCATGGGATAATCAAGAAATTATAAATTAATAAGCTTAATTTTAATCAGGCAAACTGGTGAAAACACTATTCAATGAAAAAGAATTGAGGCACACAGAGGCATAAATCCTACTAAAGAAAAATCTGCATGATTTTACAATGCTAAATACTGCTTTACCAATATTTCATTTTTTTAGAATAACCGCCAAGTGAATGAAAATAACCTTGCTCATGTTCAATATTTGGATTTTCTAAAAGCCTGTGGCAAAACTGGTAAGAAAAATACAATTTAGTGGCAATGAGATCAAAGGCTTTGTTCTTTTACATATTGCAATCAGGCAAAACAAAACACAAAACTAATTAGTAATATGTGGAATGGAGACAAACAAGTAGAGTTTCTCAAGAACTTGTTTCAGAACCAGTGCTTTTTAACTTAAACTGCACCTAATCAATGTTGGAAGAGCCCTTAAAACTTTATTTAGTCTAACTTCTTCAATGGAGGAACTGCTAAACATTTTGGACATGTGACTATGTATCTTCTATTTGAAAACCTCCAGTAAAGAGTGATATGTCACATCATGAACACCATCAGGAAATTCTTCTTAATATTTAACCACCTGAATCTATCTCCCTCTGATTCTTGCATTGCCCTCTGCCTGTGGGGTGAAAGAGAACAAGTATACTTCCTCCAGTGTATATCTGAAAACTGCTACCATTTCTCCCCTCAGTCTTCTCTTCTGCAGGCAAAATATACTACCTCCTCTAGCTATTTCTCATGGGGCTGTTTGTCAATCCCCTTGCCACCTTATAGTCATCCTATGAACTTGCTCCAATGTATCAATGTCTATTTTATATACTGCAATGTCCAGAGGTGAACACAGCATTCCAATTGGGGTTTGATCAAGGCAGAGTAGAAAGGGACAAGTGCTTCTTATGGTCTTCCTTGCTCATACAAGTTTATGGATAAGCAGTGAGCTAGTCAGGTTTATGGGCAATGCTAAACTATTGAAAATGATTTCAAAAATCCTTCCTTAACCTAGATCATGTTTGATTTCTTCATGCATTCCAAGATATGTTGATGTTAACTATTTTTATATATTATGTGCGTCATGAACACCTAAGTAGAGGGAGAAAAGTCCTTTAAAACTGTGGCAGTGAAGCATTCTAACTTACTTGAAGTCACTGGCATTTGACATGCAACTCTGCAGGAATCATGATCGGAAGGATGGCAAACAGATACGCTGCAGAAGAGGTACACCTAGAAAAGAGATAGCATGAGTCTGTTAACAGAGTAGACCAATTTCAATCTTGCCAGGTCTAATTTTAGTTAATTTGAACTCACACAAGATTATAACTTCTATTAAGATATATCTCCAAAATATGTACTCATTAATGCCTTACTAAAAAAGACATTTTCAGTCTCCTTTATTTACCCAAATAAGCAAGCAATGGGCAGTGTCCTAACAGTTAAAGTATTGTATATTTTATCCATCTCTCTTTAGATATAAGATATACACAGCTTCCATAAGCAGTTTATTAGATACAAGTATTCAGGAAACAAGATTTCTTAAACAGATTTGTAAAAAAAGATGACTACAAATAAATATATTGGTCTCACCTCAAAATGCCCATTAAAAATCCAGGTTAATGCCCTCCAGAGATTTGTTTCAGACCTGCTCCTTAGCAACATGTGTGATCTGTACTAGTATTAAAAACCTGACCACACCATTTTCTTAGGAAAAGTAGTTACTAGATTTTTCCCCTTTATATTCAAGTAGCATACTGTGCACATTGTCCCCTACTCTCTTAGAAGATAATTTAATTGGAAAAACTGAATGCAAAAAGAAGTATTTTGCTTATCATCTTACCAAACCATCTAGCACCATTTGAGGGGCAGAATCCACAAATGTGAAGGTGTAAATGATGAAACGCTGGTAGTGGTTAGGAAAGGGAAGCTCTGATGTAACAGGTCCCATGGGTACCAGCTCGGTTCTGTAGTTGTCTCCTTCAAATGGGCACCTGGGAAGAAGACGCATTAGAAAGGCTATCAAGATGTGGCTCTTTCTCCCAGCCTTGGGATCATGATGTGTTGAAGGCCCAATTGTATAATGGTTTCATTTCCGTTTGGATCTACATTTTATTATTCCATCATCATTAATTGGTTTAACCAGATTTTACAGAATTTTCTGTAAGCCACCCAGAGTCACGCTGATTAAAGTGGATGGCTGTATAAACTTGTTTTAAATAAAGTGAGTAAAATATTGCCATTGAAACCACCCAGTGCTATGAGAATTAGCATTTTTCTTTTTTTTTATTTACTTACCCATCTACTAGGATTGGCCACTGTAATTGCTCAAGGGGATTTGAATTTGGAGTAGCCCAGCAGTCATGGAGAACCAGAACTAGGGATGGGTCCAGTCTCTGTAGGATGCGAATCTCTACATGCACAGGCTCTCTCAGGATCTTCACAATAGGATACTGTGTATCTGAGTAGTATGAGGTATAGCTCGAATCTGGGGACAAGAGGCAAAATATGGCTGTATGGTTTTTCAAGGCAAGGAGATGCACAGCTGTCTTGATATCAGACATTAAGGCATATGTACCTGTGGCAATTCGCAGCTCAAGCCGGAGAGGTCCCACTTGGAAAATTGGAGCTGGGCTGGGAGGTGAGAACACTTCAACCTGAAGTGGCAGGAAATCAGTAGCATTGTAGATACAACGAGCATGAAGCCTACATGTACAAGATAGAAGAGACTTTCCTGTAAATCATTTGTTTTGAGTAAAATGTTCAAAATTAATCTTACTTTTAGTAGATAGCTATCTTTTCTAAGGTTTTGAGTTAACAAACCTCGGTTATAACATGATTATTTATGGCAGTCTAAACAAATGTGAATCAAGCTGCGCTTAACTGTTGGATACTTTGAAAAAAAGTGCTATAGAAGATGGACCTTAGTTTACAAATGATGCGCAACCAATCTATGCCAAAAGTGGGGAGCCTTCTACAATTGGACTTCCATTCCCATTCTAATCAGCTAATGTACTCAATAATCTGGAAAAATAACTACATAAATCAAAAGCTAAACTACATAAATCTGTAAAACTTAATTTAGAAGACTAAAAATATCCATATCTTAAAACTAAAGGGAGAACTATCTCATCGGTACATGGCAAATTGAACATACATGAAGGTACTATCTCGTGTAATAGAGCCATCTGGACCTTTTAGGATGTCAAGGCCAGAAACCAGCTGGTTTTCGTATATCAACTTGCCACCAGTCACCTAGAAGGACAACAAACACAGGCATTTTTATATGGTCTAGTAATTAAATCAAAGATCCTTCAAGATCCAGATAGATTAGCACTTGCCTAGACAGCATCCTCACCTGGACAGTTGTGCCACACTGTGTGAGAGGAAAGCGGAAGACCAGGAAAGATTCTGTCTTCCTGACTGGACTGCAACCTGCTTGGGCATAGGAGAGTTTGACACTCTCCAGAATGATCGGATAATCCAGCATATCCCTGGAGATTACCAAAATGAAGTAGCCATCTCGAAGGCACTGAACAGTGACTACAAGACACAAAGTGCAGAGATTACAAGCCAAACAGATCAAGAACACTTGGGGTGGATGGGTGTGTTTGTTTATTTTCAGGAAAAGGCAGAAGTGATAGTTCTCTCGCCCAGTCTTATCAGACTGGGAGCAGAAAATCTATTGCTCAGCTGCTTTGATGCTTCTCACATTAAAATTAAAGTGTATCTAGAATAAGCTTCACCAATATGAATCAATGTATAATCTGCAAAGGGCCCAGTGAATAATTTCTAGTTATTGACCATGTTGGAGGAAAACTTGGAAAGTTGTCCCGATGAACAGCTTGATGTTCCACTATAGTTTGGTGCAGCAGTTAAGGTGCTGGCCTAGAAACAGAAGATAGTGAATTCTAGTCCTGCTTTAGGCATGAAAAACCAGCTGGATAATGTCTCAGCCTAACTCACCTTACAGAGTTGTTGTTATTGTGATAGGAGAAAGGAGTACGAATAAGTTTGCCACTTGGAGTTGTATATAGAAAAAAAGGAGGGATAAAAAAAATCGAACAAAAAATCCTAAACAATATGGAAAACCTTAAAACTGAAATTCGCACAAGGTCTGACTATTGCATATAAACCCTCTTTTTATGAAAATGATCTTATTTGATAAAATGCTGAAAAGAATGTGGATAAGAAAAAAAAACTGTCTCAGCAGTGTTCCTAGTTATTGGCTGAGAGCAAGCAAGACATTTTACTTTCAAAGTACAGCAATGGCTCAGCAATGGCTGGACCCTAGGCTCAGCATTAAGTATTTTTTTTTTACTTTTTACCTGTGTTGCCATAGTAGCATGGAGTCACCTGATCACTAGCATCATAACAGCATCCAGTCTGATGACAAGCTGTTGGTCCTTGTACATCTGCACAGGGTATTCTCCCAGAAGAAACTTGGCATTGCTGCTGAGTTAGAGGACGACCTGGAAGTAAGAGAAATTACATTGTTTAGAAAATAGAAAAATTAGCCCTTAATGATTAGATGCATGTATCATAATAAACCATAATGTTTTTGTCTGGTTTGAGCTTAGCATCACAAACTCTTGTGATTCAAGGAACAAAGGGAGAAGGGCAGAAATACACAAGAAACTGAAAACTGGAAGGGCTTTATACCTAAATATAAAGACAACTAGACCTCACATGTGACCTGTTAGGTCATTTCAGAGATATTTCCTTACTGGATTCCTCAATGCCTTCAAAAATAGAAGAGTTTCCAATGGACATCAAGAATTCTTAAAGTATCTCCATGGAAAGTGTACTGGTGAACTGTATAGGAGTCAAACATCAGGAGCTGACATATGAAATGTTTCATGATGTTTTGTATTAAGTCATAAAATACTTCGATAATTTTTATGTCCTAAATTGTTTTATAAAACCTGCCAGATTTCAATTTGACAGGTGTCATGGGTCCCAGATTTTGAATGCATTCTACAAGTTAGCCCATTTGAGGTAATTTGGTTGAAAACATTTTGGCCTATGAGGCACCGTTTCACCCAGTTAAAGGTAACAGACACACAGTATTTAGTAGTATATAAATAAGAAAAAGCAGAACTACAAAAGCAATATAGAGCAAGAATGCCTATATATCCATTTCTTTCTCACCATATGATAAGATCTGCACGTTCAAAAATTAAAAACATAAAGCGAGAAACCAAAGTTACATTTATTGAGTGATCATATATACTCCATATTGTACATGTATGAAACTGGCAATAACAAAAATTTAAGTATTAAGAAAATCCACATACCTAGGCTAGACTGGATGACCATAGGATGCACATGCCCAGGAAAGGGCTCACCAGGACGAAAATGGTCAGGCTGAAGTGGAAGAAGCTGGCCAGGTTGCGATTCGCCTGGATACACCAGGCCTGGCTGAAACTGCCCTGGACGCACTAAGCCAGGTTGTGACACAACTGGATGCACTAGACCAGTCTGGAGTGGGTGCACATGTCCGGGCTGAACTGGGTGCACGAAGCCAGGCTGGGACTCACCTAGGAGCACCTGTCCTGGCTGGAAGGGACGCACTAGGCCTGGCTGGGACTCTCCTGGGCGAACCTGTCCTGGATAGATGGGAGGCACTAGGGCAGGCTGAGACTCTCCTGGGCGAACCTGTCCTGGCTGGATGGGAGGCACTAGGCCGGGCTGAGCCTCTCCTGGGCGAACCTGGCCTGGCTTGATGGGAGGCACTAGGCCGGGCTGAGCCTCTCCTGGGCGAACCTGTCCTGGCTGGATGGGAGGCACTAGGCCGGGCTGAGCCTCTCCTGGGCGAACCTGGCCTGGCTTGATGGGACGCACTAGGCCGGGCTGAGACTCTCCTGGGCGAACCTGGCCGGGATGGATGGGTGCACTAGGCTGGGCTGAGACTCTCCTGGGCGAACCTGTCCTGGCTGGATGGGGCGCACTAGGCCGGGCTGAGACTCTCCTGGGCGAACCTGTCCTGGCTGGATGGGAGGCACTAGGCCGGGCTGAGACTCTCCTGGGCGAACCTGTCCTGGCTGGATGGGAGGCACTAGGCCGGGCTGAGACTCTCCTGGGCGAACCTGTCCTGGCTGGATGGGAGGCACTAGGCCGGGCTGAGACTCTCCTGGGCGAACCTGTCCTGGCTGGATGGGAGGCACTAGGCCGGGCTGAGACTCTCCTGGGCGAACCTGGCCTGGCTTGATGGGGCGCACTAGGCCGGGCTGAGACTCTCCTGGGTGAACTGGCCTTGATGGATGGGGCGCACTAGGCTGGGCTGAGACTCTCCTGGGCGAACCTGGCCTGGCTGGATGGGAGGCACTAGGCCGGGCTGAGCCTCTCCTGGGCGAACCTGGCCTGGCTTGATGGGGCGCACTAGGCCGGGCTGAGACTCTCCTGGGCGAACCTGTCCTGGCTGGATGGGGCGCACTAGGCTGGGCTGAGACTCTCCTGGGCGAACCTGTCCTGGCTGGATGGGAGGGACTAGGGCGGGCTGAGACTCTCCTGGGCGAACCTGGCCTGGCTGGATGGGAGGCACTAGGCCGGGCTGAGACTCTCCTGGGCGAACCTGGCCTGGATGGAGGGAGCACTAGGCTGGGCTGAGCTCTCCTGGGCGAACCTGTCCTGGCTGGATGGGAGGCACTAGGCTGGGCTGAGACTCTCCTGGGCGAACCTGTCCTGGCTGGATGGGAGGCACTAGGCCGGGCTGAGACTCTCCTGGGCGAACCTGTCCTGGCTGGATGGGAGGCACTAGGCCGGGCTGAGACTCTCCTGGGCGAACCTGGCCTGGATAGATAGGAGGCACTAGGCCGGGCTGAGACTCTCCTGGGCGAACCTGTCCTGGCTGGATGGGAGGCACTAGGCCGGGCTGAGCCTCTCCTGGGCGAACCTGGCCTGGATAGATAGGAGGCACTAGGCCGGGCTGAGACTCTCCTGGGCGAACCTGGCCTGGCTGGATGGGAGGCACTAGGCCGGGCTGAGCCTCTCCTGGGCGAACCTGGCCTGGCTGGATGGGGCGCACTAGGCCGGGCTGAGACTCTCCTGGGCGAACCTGTCCTGGATGGATGGGGCGCACTAGGCTGGGCTGAGACTCTCCCGGGCGAACCTGTCCTGGCTGGATGGGAGGCACTAGGCCGGGCTGAGACTCTCCTGGGCGAACCTGTCCTGGCTGGATGGGAGGCACTAGGCCGGGCTGAGACTCTCCTGGGCGAACCTGTCCTGGATGGATGGGAGGCACTAGGCCGGGCTGAGACTCTCCTGGGCGAACCTGTCCTGGATGGATGGGAGGCACTAGGCCGGGCTGAGACTCTCCTGGGCGAACCTGGCCTGGATGGATGGGACTAGGCCGGGCTGAGTCGCTCTCCTGGGCGAACCTGTCCTGGCTGGATGGGAGGCACTAGGCCGGGCTGGGACTGTCCAGGGCGAACCTGTCCTGGCTGGATGGGAGGCACTAGGCCGGGCTGAGACTCTCCTGGGGAACCTGTCCTGGCTGGATGGGAGGCACTAGGCCGGGCTGAGACTCTCCTGGGCGAACCTGTCCTGGATGGATGGGAGGCACTAGGCCGGGCTGAGACTCTCCTGGGCGAACCTGTCCTGGCTGGATGGGAGGCACTAGGCCGGGTTGGGACTGTCCTGGGCGAACCTGTCCTGGCTGGATGGGAGGCACTAGGCCGGGCTGAGACTCTCCTGGGCGAACCTGGCCTGGATGGATGGGGCGTACTAGGCCGGGCTGAGCCTCTCCTGGGCGAACCTGTCCTGGCTGGATGGGAGGCACTAGGCCGGGTTGGGACTGTCCTGGGCGAACCTGTCCTGGATGGATGGGAGGCACTAGGCCGGGCTGAGACTCTCCTGGGCGAACCTGGCCTGGATGGATGGGGGCGTACTAGGCCGGGCTGAGCCTCTCCTGGGCGAACCTGTCCTGGCTGGATGGGAGGCACTAGGCCGGGCTGAGACTCTCCTGGGCGAACCTGTCCTGGCTGGATGGGAGGCACTAGGCCGGGCTGAGACTCTCCTGGGCGAACCTGTCCTGGCTGGATGGGAGGCACTAGGCCGGGCTGAGACTCTCCTGGGCGAACCTGTCCTGGATGGATGGGAGGCACTAGGCCGGGCTGAGACTCTCCTGGGCGAACCTGTCCTGGATGGATGGGAGGCACTAGGCCGGGTTGGGACTGTCCTGGGCGAACCTGTCCTGGCTGGATGGGAGGCACTAGGCCGGGCTGAGACTCTCCTGGGCGAACCTGGCCTGGCTTGATGGGGCGCACTAGGCCGGGCTGAGACTGTCCTGGGCGAACCTGTCCTGGCTGGATGGGAGGCACTAGGCCGGGCTGAGACTCTCCTGGGCGAACCTGGCCTGGATGGATGGGCGTACTAGGCCGGGCTGAGACTCTCCTGGGCGAACCTGTCCTGGCTGGATGGGAGGCACTAGGCCGGGTTGGGACTGTCTCCTGGGCGAACCTGTCCTGGATGGATGGGAGGCACTAGGCCGGGCTGAGACTCTCCTGGGCGAACCTGTCCTGGATGGATGGGGCGTACTAGGCCGGGCTGAGACTCTCCTGGGCGAACCTGTCCTGGCTGGATGGGAGGCACTAGGCCGGGTTGGGACTGTCCTGGGCGAACCTGTCCTGGATGGATGGGAGGCACTATGCCGGGCTGGGACTCTCCTGGGCGAACCTGTCCTGGATGGATGGGAGGCACTAGGCGGGGCTGAGACTCTCCTGGGCGAACCTGTCCTGGCTTGATGGGAGGCACTAGGCCGGCTGAGACCCTCCTGGGCGAACCTGTCCTGGATGGATGGGAGTACTAGGCCGGGCTGAGACTCTCCTGGGCGAACCTGTCCTGGCTGGATGGGAGGCACTAGGCCGGGTTGGGACTGTCCTGGGCGAACCTGTCCTGGATGGATGGGAGGCACTAGGCCGGGCTGAGACTCTCCTGGGCGAACCTGTCCTGGATGGATGGGAGGCACTAGGCCGGGCTGGGACTCTCCTGGGCGAACCTGTCCTGGATGGATGGGAGGCACTAGGCCGGGCTGAGACTCTCCTGGGCGAACCTGTCCTGGATGGATGGGAGGCACTAGGCCGGGCTGAGACTCTCCTGGGCGAACCTGTCCTGGATGGATGGGAGGCACTAGGCCGGGCTGAGACTCTCCTGGGCGAACCTGGCCTGGCTGGATGGGGCGTACTAGGCCGGGTGGGACTGTCCTGGGCGAACCTGTCCTGGCTGGATGGGACGCACTAGGCCAGGTTGTGACTGTCCTGGGCGAACCTGTCCTGGATAGATGGGAGGCACTAGGCCTGGCTGGGACTCTCCTGGGCGAACTTGTCCTGGATAGATGGGAGGCACTAGGCCTGGCTGAGACTCTCCTGGGCGAACCTGTCCTGGATAGATGGGAGGCACTAGGCCTGGCTGGGACTCTCCTGGGCGAACCTGTCCTGGATAGATGGGAGGCACTAGGCCTGGCTGGGACTCTCCTGGGCGAACCTGTCCTGGATAGATGGGAGGCACTAGGCCGGGCTGAGACTCTCCTGGGCGAACCTGTCCTGGATGGATGGGAGGCACTAGGCCGGCTGAGACTCTCCTGGGCGAACCTGTCCTGGCTGGATGGGAGGCACTAGGCCGGGTTGGGACTGTCCTGGGCGAACCTGTCCTGGATGGATGGGACACTAGGCCGGGCTGAGACTCTCCTGGGCGAACCTGTCCTGGATGGATGGGAGGCACTAGGCGGGGCTGAGACTCTCCTGGGCGAACCTGTCCTGGCTTGATGGGGCGCAGTAGGCCGGGCTGAGACCCTCCTGGGCGAACCTGTCCTGGATATGGAGGCACTAGGCCGGGCTGAGGACTCTCCTGGGCGAACCTGTCCTGGATAGATGGGAGGCACTAGGCCTGGCTGGGACTGTCCTGGGCGAACCTGTCCTGGCTGGATGGGAGGCACTAGGCCGGGCTGAGACTCTCCTGGGCGAACCTGTCCTGGATGGATGGGAGGCACTAGGCCGGGCTGAGACTCTCCTGGGCGAACCTGTCCTGGATGGATGGGAGGCACTAGCCGGGCTGAGACTCTCCTGGGCGAACCTGGCCTGGCTGGATGGGGCGTACTAGGCCGGTTGGGACTGTCCTGGGCGAACCTGTCCTGGCTGGATGGGACGCACTAGGCCAGGTTGTGACTCTCCTGGGCGAACCTGTCCTGGATAGATGGGAGGCACTAGGCCTGGCTGGGACTCTCCTGGGCGAACCTGTCCTGGATAGATGGGAGGCACTAGGACTGGCTGGGACTCTCCTGGGCGAACCTGTCCTGGATAGATGGGAGGCACTAGGCCTGGCTGGGACTCTCCTGGGCGAACCTGTCCTGGATAGATGGGAGGCACTAGGCCTGGCTGGGACTCTCCTGGGCGCAACTGTCCTGGATGGATGGGCGCACGAGACTAGGCTGAGACTCTCCTGGGGGCACCTGTCCTGGGTATACTTGGCCAGGCAGGAGTGGGAGAAGTTGACCAGTGTGAGATTGCCCTGGACGCAGTTGACTGGGCTGGTGTGGGAGAAGACCACCAGGCTGGGACTGCCCAGGGTGCACCTGAGCTAGGTGAGACCCTCCTGTGTGCACTAGAACAGGTTGAGGCTGGTTCACATGGCGCATGTTGTTCTCTGGGGTTTTGACATTGGGGCAGATCATGTTGATGTCATGAGCAGCTACTGTTCGGTTGTTTGTTAGTTCCTCTAAATGGACTTTCAACTGATGTATGCCATCCTAGAAAAACGTTAATCCAAAATGTTACAATATAAGTTTTTAGTAGATAGAGTCAGAGAGAGATATATATATATATGCTTTGTATGTATGTGAATAAATATATATTATGGGTCCTTAAGTTTTATCTAAATCTTTTTTTACATTAATTGCTATGCTTCAGAAAATATTTTAACAGTAAAATTGGCAAGGACCTCTCCCATCTTTTAGGATTAGGATTTCCAAATCACGGTAGTTTGTAAGTATGGAATTTCCCTTCCATTTTTTTTTTAACAGAACTTGTTCGTCTTTGTAATATGTGAATAAAGGGAGCCTGTAGGTGACCTGTAAGCCCTATAGGGTAGGGCAGACTAAGAAACTACTTCTACGTAGGGCTAAAAATACAACACTGTAGTAACAGAATTCCCCACTTTACCGTGATGTTAATTAGGGAGGGGGTTGTCTGATATGTTTTCTCCCTTTAGTTTCTTAGAAAGGACTCAAGCCCTGCTTGTCTGTTTAGTTTGGTAGCAACTCTAGCTTCTGTGCTTCAAAAACCATTCCCTGTGCTTTTTGCATTGCCCTTGAATTTGCTGGGGGGGGGGGGGATGCAGACCCAGGTGTCTACATAAATTATATTTCTGCCTTTCCCAGCCTGGGGCCTTGCTGACATTTGGGGCGGCAATTCTTATTTCTAGCCAACATTGTTTTCGGTTGTTGCAAATTTAAGCCTAAAATATCTGATGGGAAGATTGGGAAAAACTCTTCTAAGTAGAAATTCTGAAATACAATACATATGTCTACAGCTCCCCTCCCCCCACCCAGCATTTTCCAGCGAAGCCTCACCTTCTTTATTACACCGCAACCACCATAGCCAGCAAAGAAGGCAACTGTCCTATTATCTGACATGATCAAGTGACGACAGATGGGACAATTGGCAACTTCAAAGATTTTCCCAGATTCATCTGTTGACAAAAATTAAATCATTAACTACCAAAGGCTATTTATCCAAAAAGATTCCAAAGGCAGTAGCACTAATAGGCTCTGCAAATATGTGTTCTTTGGATTACTTACATGGTCTTCATAACAACACCCCACCATTACTGAAGAGATATAAAAGCTAGAAGCAGATTTGAGCCAGGCTAAGATTCGATATTGGGATAAAACTCAAATATTAGAAATCCAAATCTTTGGTCAGGACAGAAGTGTCTCTTCCGTGCCAAGGTGCTGAGATGACAAACGGTATTTGACGTAGGTACAGAATTGTAAAAGGGCAAACTGACCCTAAACAGATACATCCTGTTGTTTAATGTTTATTACACCTCAAATGTCATGTATATCCTAGAGAAGAAATACTGCTTCCCTTACTGTCCTCTTTACTGCTCTTGAGGCGCCTTTGAGCCCCTTATCTCCTCTTTTATTATGTCTTGAGCTCCGGAGCTGAGAACCTGAGCCTGTGGGAAAGGGACTGTTATGTCTTTCTTAGAGATAGATTAAAGGGTGAAATGTCTCACTCTTCGTAATAACTTTGCCTTTATACTGTATAAATATCTGGCCGAAAGCAGCCATCATTGTTCAGACCCTTTTCTTGTCTTTGGACTGTTTAAACCGTGCACAATAAACTTTTTCCTGCAACAGATTAAAGAATTTAATTTCTGTAATTTGTATTTGTCATAGATTCCATAATTCTTTTGAGCTTCCTCTACAGTACAGTTAAACAAAAACTAACTTTGTACTACAATTTGCAGAATTCTCTCCAATAACCATACCGGCTAGAGAATTCTGGGTGTTGAAGTTACCTCCCAGAAAGAGGAGGCTACAATAGTCACAAATTAGTTTGTTTGGTCCTATGGCTAATTCCAGCCATGATGATTTGTAAATCATACTGTAGTTCATTGTAGGGACTGACCAATTATAGTTTATTTATTAAACCTCATTTAGATAACCCAAGTTTACAATATGTGAATCAAGGCATAGGCTCTGAGCTGACATTCTTATAGGAGAGGTTTATCTGAAAACAAATTCTACAAGAATTGGATGCTAGATTAAAATATATCCAGAAAGAAACTACAGAAACTTTAGCAAGTAATAGCAAGCAGCTTCATTTTAAAAGCCAAGACTTGTGAATAGCTTTCCTGGCTTTGCATTTCTAAACCTCCAATTTCACTCCCCAAGGATTGTGGAATTATTTCTTACACACTCCTACAAGTTGCTAATCTTTCCTAGTGCTCTAATTTCCTTGTAAGATTTCCTGTCCCTATTAAATATTTTACACCAGATTATCTAGCCAAAACTATGTTAGAAGGAAGCTGCTTGTGAACCATGGATTGCCAATAGCTCGTTTTCCCCCTTGCTCTTTTCACTATAATTTCATGCTAATTGCCCTACAAATTCACTAATTGTAGGGCAATTAGCATGTCACATAAGACCCAGAGCAATGTGGGTTTAAATCCCTCTAACCACAATACTCTTTGGTGACCCTGGCCAATAAATAACTGAGAATAAAATATGGGAGGTGAAAGAAGGCTTAAGGTGATGCTTTTTAATAAAGTTTGTTAGTTGGAAAAAGTGTTGCCAGGCTCCTTCTGATTGCTGGCTTCTTTAGATCAACATGTCTCTCCCTCCTAGAATGCCAGCAGAAGTTGTTAGGAAAGCCTACATCTATTCTAAATTGTAGAAATGGCAATTATATATTCTGAATCAACTTAATATCAACTCTTCACTCACAGGAAGAAAATTGTCTAACTTCCTTTTGCTCAGTAATAGAGAGCATATAGAAGTAGCCACCACACTCACCCTAAAAAGGATTACTATGTGTTGTAAGCATAAAGTCCCCTAACAGCCCCAAGTGTCCTCTTGTTACAAAACATGTTACAACTCCAATTTAGTATTTTGCAGGAAAACAGACTATTTCCTTACCCACAACTTTAAAGCGGACCTCTTGGCCATGACGGGGGTAGACAAGCAATTGCAAACCATGGTCTCTGCAGTTATAGCGATACTGAATGGCTTCTGTGCTAGCTTTCCAGAAGTCTGCTTGCCCGTGACATAACCCAAGAATCACCAGGATTATTAAACCTAGAGAGCCACTACAACCCCACCACATGGTTGTAGTGGCCAAATTAACAAATGCTGCACCAACAAGCTGCTACTGCTGGTAAAAACTGAAGGGCGGAAGAACTGGAACTATAAAAGAGCAAGGGGGGAGGTGGATTGGCTGAAATGAAAATTCACCCAGCAGTGTCTGCACCTGGGGATCTGCAGAGGCCAAATGAGGGACAGGTCAAAAGAACAAAACTCAACCAAAAGAGAAACATATATAGTATTCATCCAACAGGCACTTCCCTGCCACTTTTTTCTCTCATCCTTTCTTGGACTGGGCTGTAAAAATAATTCACTTTAGGAATTATTGCTGATTAGAGAATGAGGCAATCCCACATATACTAACTTGGAAGCCAGTTCCACTAAATTCGGTAGAACTAAGTTTTGCATGGATTTTAGTAGCAAATGTTCTGTCTCAGTTCTTTACATTTTTCCCCCTATGCTGTCTCCTTTTCTGAGACTGCATACTTTCGTTTTCTTTGAAGTTTTTAGGGCAAACAGAAATTTAGCAAGATAAGATTGGAATAGCTTCTCCAGTTGAATTTCATCCTGTTACACAGTGCAGCTGTTTAAGAAAAAAATACACTCTGCAGGGAAACTAGATCTACCAGAAATTTGTTATGAAGGGTGCAGGTTTAATTATTTTTATGGTGTATATAGGTTTTTTAAATTAAATTTTAAATTAAATTTTAAATTAAATTTTAAATTAAACAGCAGCCCGCAATATTATAATGTACAATTTCAAAGTACTCTACACCATGCTTCTTGCCACCCATAGCTTTCCATTTTTTTTCATCTTGACACTAATCTAGTCTTGATTAGGCAGTTTTAGGTTTCATCCCTGAGTTTTTCTTTTTCCTTGAATCTCTTTTTGTCTTTCTGCAAACTTTACAGTAACCCATTCTACTCATACCTCCCTTTTGTGATAAACTGAGCCCAAAGATTGGCAGATGAAAACATTATTAGCTTGGAAATGAAATAAGTGTTTCAACCTCTATTTTCTGACTGGTAGGACATTGTTTATTGTATTCTTTCCATTATATTCATGGATTTTATAATCTGTACCATTTGGGCATATGGTTAAGTTACTTACTAATTTATATTGCTTTTCTCTGCCTTATACTAAGTTGCATTAACTTTAATGTTAAAGTTAATTCCAGTCTGTCTCTACACACGTCTATACCAATAAAACACCACTGAGGTAAATGATTGTAATTTTTCCATTTAATATGTTTGGTATATTTGTTCCAGTCATGATTTGGGCTGCAAGAATGCAGATATGTGTCTAAAAGCCTAAATGCTAATAAACACAGTCATAATTACTATCAGAGTTTCTAAAGTTCTTAAAGAACAGAGGATCCAAATTTTGGAGAAGATGGGCAAAAAAATTAATGTTGAAAAACTAAAAATTATCATCTTTTCTGGAGGAGATTTTCAAGTGCAATAAAAAAAGACACAGATTCACAGCATGAGAGTTACACATATTTCCCATGATCCCTGAATTTATTATCACAATGTTCTCATTTCACCGCATGTCCACTCACACATATTTGGATTGTTAAAATTGTTTTTCTGCAATGTGAGGTTATGAGGGACGAATCTTTCATTTTAATATTGCTCCTAGGAACCTCCAACCATCATTATCTTTAATTCTGCTTCTTCTCAAATAATGTTACCACTAAAATCTGGTGAACCTTCACATGTCTGTTAGTTATATCATACTTCTACTCCCAAATGAGGAGATCAACCGTGACTGCTCTTTAGAAGGCCAAATCCTGAAGATGAAACTCAAATACATTGGCTACCTAATGAGAAGGAAGGTCTCACTGGAGAAGAGCCTAATGCTGGGAAAGACTGAGGGTAAAAGAAGAAGGGGACGACAGAGAATGAGATGGCTGGATGGAGTCACTGAAGCAGTAGACGTGAGCTTAAATGGACTCCAGAGGATGATAGAGGACAGGAAGGCCTGGAGGAACATTGTTCATGGGGTCGTGATGGGTCGGACACGACTTCGCAATTATCAACAACTCCCAAATGCCTTGCAAGGAAGTGAGTCTGTTAAACCAATGTGGGAATGGATCTTGCTTCTTTACCAGTAAAACAAATTTGTTTAGCTCTGGAATTTATATAAAAAAGTGAGAGCTGCTACAAACATGCTGGAATCAGATAATATTTTTTTCCAGTGAAAAATTGTATCACTGTTCAAAGATATACTCTCTCTTAAAGATGGAGGGACCAGCAATAAAGTTCTAACTTCAATTACAAAGATGTTTGCTAGCCAGCAAGGCAGAGGTAGGTTTTTATAATGCATTTATCCTCTCCCATTCCCCCAACTCCACCATTCAAGGTAAAACACCATTTTATTTCTCTTCAATATCTTGACATGCACCATGGTTGCAATTTGATTTTGGCAAAATATTTGACAAAGAATTCCATGATATTTTGGATAGCAAAGAGGCTTGCTGCAGGTTAAGTGGATTTGTGTCGGGTTGGAAAACATGTTGAAAGAGTAAAGAAATATCTTCTATTAGTAAAATTACTAATTTTCTTACAGATGTTTTATTACCCAAGTAGGTTACATCACCAGTGCTAGTAGAGAGCAGTGTTTGCATGAGAGAGCACCAAGGACCAGTGTGGGATTCAGCCAGTTCGTACCACTTCAGGAGAACCGGTTGTTAACTTTCTGAGCAGTTTGGCAAAGTGGTTGTTGGAAGAAATCATTAGGGCAGAGAACCAGTTGTTAAATTACTTGAATCCCACCACTGCCAAGGACCCTGCAGAGTAAAGTTAGCTGGTTCTTCAACAGACTGGAAAGAGGAGTGCCATTGCAGTGCCATTGCTGCAAGACTCCATCCTAAATTTTACATTATTCAATGTTTGTTTTTATCAAATATGCAGATGATGGAGTAGTTTCTAAATTCTATAATGGAATGGAAAACTGACCAAAATCAAACAGCCTATATCTGCATAAACCTGCAACCTGTATCTGCATAAAAGATATTTCCGTTTAAGACTACAGCAGTATGTTGAATGGTTAGCAATTTGGCAAGGAAAGTAAAATGATTCCACATGAGTAATTATGGAGCTGCTTAGGGAAAAGAAGGAGGAGAATATAAACATCTCCTAAAGTACAAGAAAATATATGAAATTATTCTTTAGCACTCCCTCCTGACTGCCATAGATTTTAAAAACACACCACTATTCTGAAAAGCCAAATTGGATGAAGATTGAAGTACTTCTGAGAAACTGAGAATCCAAAAATGAATGGGAGAATCATTACAATAGATTGTTTGCTTCTTATCCCACCCAGAACAATTATCTGATTAATCCAAATTTTATTCTTTAGCCCCCGGTTTCTCTAAAAGAAATTGGACCTCTGATTCTGACTTTGTCTCAGGCAAAGCCCCAGGAGAAGATTATACCCATGGAGATTCATTAAAAGTTAATACTGTTTGGTGGAAGCCTATTTTGGTTTAACTTTTTAATAACATTAATTCCTCACACCAATTCCCTCAAGAGGAGTTGCAATGCAAGCTCTAGTGATCCCAATAGGAAAAAAAAGGTAATCCTCCAGGGAATTATAGACCAATTAGGCTGATTAACACCACAGCCAGATGTATACAAAACTTCTAGCTAACACATTAGAGGATTGGATCACTGAAACAATGTATTTGCAGGCAGGGTTTAGAGTAGGATATTCAACAATTTTGTATTGTATGATTTGATAAATAAGTATGTAAAACATGCCTTCAGGAAATTGTTGCCCTTGTGGATTTCTGTGAAGCTTTTGATTTTATCAGTAGAAACAAGCTATGAGTTAAATTAGATAGAAGTTTATTGATATTAATCATGATTGTGTTTAATACACAAGCACTCAAACTCAGATTAGGGTCATCCCAGGAGGACATCTGACCACCCCAAACAAAATAAAGATTTATAAAGGATGTGTGCTTGTTCTGCTCCTCTTTCATCTATGTATTATGGTAATTAGGTCATCCCAGCTCTGAATGGAGAATTTTGTTTCCCCAGGAAATATGGGAAATGGGAACTTGTCCATATTACCTTATGCATATGATTTATTGCTTACATCTTACTCTCAGATAAGCTTGCCCAGACAGTTAAAGGCACTGGATTGTTATGGCTCCTCAAATGTTTGAATCCTGAAAAAGCAAAAGTGGTGGAATAGGGGTGGTGGGAGGCATATGTTAAGTGCATGTGTAGAACAATTGTTGTGATAGAATGTGCCTTTGGCAACCCAGAGATTTTCTTGAAAGAAGCCTGAATTAAGACACCATGCAGTCCCAAGCTAGAGGGGAAGGGAGGAAGAGGGTTAGGGAAGCCTCTCCCTAGAATCTTTCAGGATATATCTAGTAAGTTAAAAGTAGTTTAGCAAGCTTCTTCCCATTAAGTGCGAGCAAATAAAGAACTGAACTCAATTGGACCCCACTGTCTTCTCTCTGGGCTTGGGCCTAATAATTTGCATATGCAAATAGAGGTATTTATTGTGCTGTATGTGCAAAGGGAAAAGGGATCCACACCACTAACTCTTTACTCAACTTCCCCAGTACTGTTGGAAGAAAAATCTGTTCGTTGCAAGCCGAGAGAGAGATGCAAGAGTCAATGAATTTGGAGGCAGGCTCCATTTATTTAGGAATCAGAAGCAAAGTGTCTTAGCATCAGTTCTGGGACAGTTGACTGCCTGGCATGGGAAGTAGAGTGAGTTTTATACCCTTTTGGACCGTTGAGATTGAGATGCCTGATGGGGAGATTAGATTAGATTAGATTAGATTAGATTAGATTAGATTAGATTAGATTCTCTATTCTAATTGTCCTTATTTGGTTTCCTGGGTGGTGGTGGTCAGGGTCAAGGCTAGCCTTGGGGAAAAGTGGGGAATATAAATTCTGTGTGGCTTAATCCTGTCAATTCGGCCTGTCTCAGTCTTCTAATTGGGATTACCTGAGGCCATTCTGGCTGGGAGGCAAGGATTGCTTTAGCGTCTATGGATGGTTCTTCTTTGCCTTCTCTGGGGGCATGAAATTAAA